AATAGTGTGGTCAGCAGGAGTAGGCAAGTGATCCCTGTACGCAGCACTGGTGAGGCCGAACCTTGAATACTGTGTTCAGTTTTGGGCCCCTCACTACAAGAAGGACATTGAGGTGCTGGAGCATGTCCTAAGAACGGCAACGAATCTAGTGAGGGGCCTGGAGCACAAGTCTCATGAGGAGCAGCTGAGGGAACTGGGGTTGTTCAGTCTGGAGAAGAGGAGGCTGAGGGGAGACCTTATCGCGCTCTACAACTACCTGAAAGGGGGTTGTGGCGAGGTGGGTGTTGGCCTCTTCTCCCAAGTAACTAGTGATAGGATGAGAGGGAATGGCCTCAAGTTGCACCAGGGGAGGTTTAGATTGGATATTAGGAAAAAATTCTTTATGGAGAGAGTGGTCAAGCATTGGAACAGGCTGCGCAGGGAGGGGGGGGAGTCACCAAAATTGTATTCAAAAAACATGTGCATGTGGCGCTTCAGGACATGGTTTAGGGGGCATGGTGGCATTGGGTTAACAGTTGGACTTGATGATCTTGAAGGTCCTTTCCAACCTTAAGGATTCTGTGATTCTGTTTTAAAATATAAAGTTTACTGTGGCTCATAAAATTCTTCAACGTGTTTTACAGATTGTGACAGATCAGCAAACAGGTCAAAAAATCCAAATAGTGACAGCAGTGGACGCAGCTGTATCTCCAAAGCAGCAATTTATTTTAGCCAGTCCAGATGGAACTGGTGCAGGAAAGGTGATACTGGCAGCACCTGAGACATCTAATGCCAAACAGCTTATCTTTACCACCACAGACAATATTGTGCCAGGCAGAATTCAGGTAAATACAATAATTGAGATAGACCATAGATTTTGTTTTTCAGGTTTTAATTTTTAGATTATTTAAGTATATAATTGCTTTAAGACAAATTGCAATTTCTAAAGATCTAATGACATGGGACCATACTAATTGTAGGCTTCGTTATTTAATCATAAATCCTTCCGTCTTCATGTTCCTCATGCATTCCATTGCACTTATCACCTCTTGTTGTGTGTTCTCATTAAAATTCCAAAGACATAAGCAAATACTTAAGATGGTGCTTTTGAGGAGTGCCAAGTTTTCAGATGGTCTGTTCAAGTTTCACAGATATACAGAGATACAACGCACCTGAGCAAACTTACATTCACAGTGCAGTATCAAGACACTGCAGTAAAAACTCTCTGGAGCAGAAGCTATCCTCTGTTACAGTTGTTTGTGGGTCTTGAGTATAATCCAGACCAATGGGAGCTTTGCAAAACAGACTATATAAGCAATGGTCTACCTTTAGTGAAATTGGAGATTTCTTCCTAGCATTCTTAAAAAAATAGGCACCTGGTCGCTATTGCTGTTGTTACAGTAGAGAATATTTTACAGGGAGAAGCATCACTTCTATAAATACATGAAAAATTCTATTAACAGTCTTTTAAAATTTATTTTACTATGTTAAATGGGTTACCTGATATTACAGAGGGAAATTTTTGTTTGTTTGTTTGTTTTTAATTTTTCTGTGTTAAATAAAATGTTCTGAGAAGTTTTGGAATCAAAGGCCTTTGGAAGTTACAATATTTCTATAATGGATCTCAGCTTCCGGCTATCCCCTCTGAAACCTGTAACACTAATAGCTAGAGAAGGGGTAGACGGGAATAGCATCTGATATACAACCATCTTTGGCTGAAATATAGCAGCTGTTTGAGAGTAATTGCAAGATGGGAAGAATACTGTTGACTGCATAAGTAAGGAAACTTACGCGTACTGAACAAAGCTAGCAGTTCTATTTGGAATTTGTTTTGCTATGACTGTTTCAGCATTCTCACTATGGACAGTAAAAACTCTCATTAACTGTCATTTTATACTACTTAATTTCATTACAGATGTCATACTTATTCTCAAATTCGGCCACCTCTTCCCAGTTGATGCACCAGTCTTGTTCTGTAGGCAAAACTCCGTACCTTCATGTCAGAAGAAAATACTGGCTAATTATCTCTTTTTGTTCTGGAATTTTGTTTTAGATAGTGACAGACTCTGCTTCGGTGGAACGTTTGCTGGGAAAAGCTGATGTTCAGCGGCCACAGGTAGTAGAATATTGCGTAGTCTGTGGCGATAAAGCATCAGGTAAGGAAGCATAGAAAGTAGTATTCAAGAAACTTGACTGAAAGGATGAGTGGGATGAAGCAAGGAGGTTGCATGTATTTTAACTGATTTTAGCCATGCTGATGGTAAAACAAATTGAGTCTAAAATGGAAAAAAGTAACATTATACTTTGTATCTATACACACAGAATAGTTAAATGCTGCTTTGAAGGATATCAGTTTGTGCTTCAACTGGAGTATATGATAAATCAGCATGTGCTGAAAGACAAAATAATGATTGAATAGCTCCTGGTAACTGAAAGAGACTATTTGAAGCATTTAGTCTGGTTCCCCACATCTATGGGCAACCATGCAATAAACACGTAACCTAGAAAAGTCTACCTGCTCCAGGAAAACACTTCTTAGTGCTCTCTAACAAACTTAGGACTTCCCTGTAGATTTTGGTCTTTTACTATCACAGAAAAAACCAAATAGAGATCAAGTGAATCGTCACTGTTTCAGATTCATGCAGTAATAAGGAGTCTACGAGGTAAAATTTCTACTTTAGCCCAAGAAGTGGACTGTGCATTCATGCTACAGAGAAGACACCTTTCTGTCTCTCTGTCTCACTTTCTTTATTTTTGTGTTTATGTAATTAAAACAATACCAGAATTGATATGTATAGGAATTTTAAATTAAGATTGCATTTCAAATTTTATTGTAAAATTACCTATATTCCGAAATTACATAAACTCTTAGCCGGTATGTTCTTTTAATGTATCCTGTAATCTCTAACAGCAGATAGAATTGCGTTTGTACTTATCCAGAATGGGAACTACCACTTCACAGGCCTCGCATTCAGATACAGGCTTAGCCTTCCTATCTTCTCTCCAATCTCCCACCAAAAAGTCCTCACAATAGGTAAACACGAAACATTCTGTAAGATTTTAACAATGCTTTCATGGTACAAAATGATGGTAAGAATACAAAATAAATTTAAAGGGTGACTTTTACAATGTTTTACTTGCTTAAGATAAATATTTCTATGCTAAAATGTAAGTAATTTCCATCTGATAACAATATATATGTTTCCTAGGTCGTCACTATGGTGCTGTCAGTTGTGAGGGATGCAAAGGTTTCTTTAAAAGGAGTGTGAGGAAGAATTTGACCTACAGTTGTCGTAGCAACCAGGACTGTATCATCAATAAACACCATCGGAATCGCTGCCAGTTTTGTAGGCTTAAGAAATGTCTAGAGATGGGCATGAAAATGGAATGTGAGTGTTAAGTACCCAATGTGATACTGTGCCTACCAAATAATAAATATGTGGACTACCACTTTTTAGTGTGTTCTCTCCATTTTGGTGTATGTTGCCTGAAGGAAACAGAACTTCTACCATACCTTTCTTTCATCACCATTTTACATCTGAGGTGCAATAGTGATTTGTTTTGAACCATGTCTCATACTACTGTAGTCTTTGAGGAGCCCAGTAAGAGCCTCACTTAGAATGCATATTACAAACACAGTGTATGTTTATAATACAAAATATTTTAACATGGATGGATGTAAATCTGAGTCTAATGTTCAGTGTTCAGAATCTGCTTGCGTTCTGGTTTATTTTTGCTGCTTTTTCAACCAGTGATAGAAAGTAGTTGATGTCCTTTTTCAATTTTTCTATTAATTTGGTCATTTGTGAGCATTGTATTATGAGGCATTGTATAAACTGTCATATTTTAAATAATATACTTTCATGTTTGTTTGCAGGGCTTCATACAATTCCAGTGCTAGCATCCAAACACCTCTTTCAATGTATTTTGTTTCCAATTTGTAACACCTCTGCTTCTTCAGTCCAGCACTCCATAAAGCCTATTACATGGTTGTTTTGTGATAAATTTATGGAGAATTTAAGGTGAAGCAACAAGTATTTTCCTTTTTCCACTGTGATCTAGGCAGGATAAGTTCCAACCAATGAGTTCAAGGGAAGCAGAACCTGTAAATAGGGAGATCTTTGTTGTATTTGCGTTCTGGAACTCCAGACCTGTAGCGATGATTGCTGTGCTTTGCACACACTGTGCTGAGTTTAGCAGGAGACATTTGTACAAGAGAAACTGCTGCATTTGCAGAAGCTAAACCTTTCTTTTCCCAATATGATTAAGATATATGCTCACTGACTTTACTTTTATGCCCATATTTATTGGCATCGGGTCAGGTTTCTGATTTATGTATCCACCAAGCCAACAAAATGCATATAGCTACTTTTAAGCTCCTAATTTTGCTGACAGTAACATTATTAGCAAAAATAAAATCAGAAACTAAATAACTCTTGCTGGTTATGAGGACAGAGAGAGACATATCCATATATTTTACTGTTACATTCAAAAGGGCTATAGAGAAGGGTTGAATTTTCTTGTTTCCGTATTAATACTGTTAATCTTCTAGAGCAATAACTGCTGTATGATAAATTGGTACAATGAATAGCACAGAAATATTATCTCCATTTACATTATGCCTTACATTTGCAAAGTGTTGTGAGAATTATTAGTAATACAACACTTTTAAAAATTCTTTATACTATCCTCATAGGCTTTTACTTATTTTACTATACTCATTTTCAGGTGAAAAATTGATGCAGTCAAATGTTATGCCAAACTATAGAGGAGTTTGTAAGGTTTAGTGACTTATATTCCAGATAACTTTCTGTAATCTGTTTAATAATAATACCTTAATATTTTAAAGATGCACTTTTCACTTCCTTTAAAGTTACTGTTTCTTACTATTTTTATTAAAAAATGTACCACACTTGTTTGGCACATTGGAGACTGAGCTTATTTTCTTCCGGTTCTCTAGTAGAAATATTTTAAATTCTAAAAAGGTTAGTTTTGGAACACTGTTCCCTAACTGGGTGGAATGAATGGATGTGAGTGAATTGTGTATCATGCAGAGACTTGTCTCCCAGGGAATAAACCTGCATCTCTCATGTAACTTGCCTGTTTTGACATTTTCTGGGTTCACTGTGGCTGTGCCTTGTTTTCAATCATCCAGAGTATGACTGTGTCTAACATTTAGGTATAGCTTCACCTGTAAAAAATAAATAAACAATTTGAAAACACATTTTGCAGGATGTTCCATCCTATTAAATGCCAATGAAATAGCAAGCTTTGACTCCAGTTCAGCAAAAATTAAAGCAAATGATCAATCTTTGACCTTCTTAGTTAAAAATTTACATAATCACAGGTATGGTAAAATTGGACCCTGTGTTTCTTCAGTCTGCATATTAAATTTCCAGTTTTGCACTGAGCTGATATACCATAACTGTGCAAACTGAAATGCTACTGTGAGAATTTTACTTTCTTTTTGTGTTTTTCAGTTGAATTATTTCCTTTCAAATCTGCATGTTTCTCTCTTTATGTAGCGGTTCAAAGTGAAAGAAAGCCTTTTGATGTGCAACGTGAAAAACCAACCAACTGTGCAGCTTCCACTGAAAAAATCTATATCAGAAAAGATCTACGAAGCCCTCTAATAGCAACTCCAACGTTTGTGGCAGATAAAGATGGGACGCGGTGAGTACCTTAGTTATTTGTGCATACTACTTTGCAGTCACACCTATACTCTTTTTTTTCCCCTCTGCTCTAAAGAATTGGACAGAAAAGAGCTCACATTCACAAATCATCTGTTTCTATTACCAAGGCCAACCTAGATTGTTGTGCTTCTCATGGAAGTTTTTATGTCTGAGTACAGCTGGGTGGTCTTCAGTTCAGAATTGGCTCTTGTCCAGCCAGGTCGAAGCATAGGCAGGGGAAATACGTGATACTCAAGCAAAAAGCATGTAGGCTTACACTGTGATGCATTCAGTTTAGCAGTTCTCTGAAATAAAATCTGCAAATGGCGACTCAGCCTTTCTTCTCCTAATGACAGTAGTAAAAGAGACTGCAGTTAGTGCTGATTCAGGTCCCAGGAGACTAGTTTCAACAGCAGCAAAACAGCAGCAGCTTCCTTTTACTATATGAAAGATACTCTGAGACGGTTCCCATACTCTCAGTTGTCTCCATAGGCAGTGGGTGTGGAAGTGCATATCATAATAAATAGAGGCAAGATTTGTCTTTTTCTGAGTAGGATAAAAAAACTCCGGGTTAAGTATCACATTTTTAAAACCATAGGTCCAGTTAGTTTATGAATGGATAATAACCACCTAAACATATTGGATCTCAATATTCGGTTTTATATAGATATTTAATTTTTTTAATATATATATATGTATTCTTTGTTGAACAAATGACACTGCAGTTAAGAAGATTAGGCTGCAAATTTCCTGGAGAATTGTTTTTCAGTGTTCTCGTTTGCAAGTCAGATTGTTCAAAAGTACTGCTCACAGATACATTTGCTTCTTTGAGATTTCCTTGTGCTACAGATCTCTTAAAAGTCCTATAAACAATATTATAGTCATTAAGTGTGACTCTCTATTTATGTAAGTTTCAGATTTGCATAACACATGATAACTTGCTGCCCGTGGGAGTTCACAGTATTAGTTGTTAGTCTCAGACCCCCTAAATGATAAATTCCCTGCAGCCTGAACCTGTTTTGCATGCATTTGTATTGGGTTATGCAGACTTGAAGTGTTATCTAAGTAACAAATAAACTTATAGTTGCTGACTGCAAAGACTTCCCACTGTCTCCCTAAATTAGATACAGCAAAGTGTAAGGATGTTTGGTCAAAAAGTAGCAGAAGTAAAGGCAGTAGAGATTTTATGCAGACCTTGATTACACGACTGTTGATGCCTGTATTTTGGAATGTAAAATATATTTTCTTGACATAACTTTTTTCTTCAGTGCTGTCCATTGTCTAACTTGGAATACACAGTCATGCATTCCTCCAAAGTCTAATGCATAACTCCAGAGCTATTAAGTGACTTCTGAGAGCATGAGAAGACAACAACTTTCCTTAAGACAGAGTAAACCAGCATAAAAAGCAAATGAGAGGATATCTATTTGGGAAGTTGTCATTGCTTTTGCACGGGAAAGGAAAACGTATTCCAGTCTTTCCATCTTTCAAGCTACTTTTTGGAAACTGTTTCAGAAAGACTTAAGTCCTGATAAATAAACTCTGAGCTTCATTAAATTGTTAATTGAAAAATTGGTAATCCCTTTCATTCTGGCATAGGTTGTTACACGTTCTTCTAATTAATGTAAAATACTATTGACTGTCAGGTGCCTTATGCTTTTGAACAGGTCAGCAGGTCTTCTTGATCCAGGAATGCTTGTGAATATTCAGCAGCCTTTGATCAGGGATGATGGTACAGTCCTCCTAGCTACTGACTCCAAGGTATTATTCTTTCAGTTAAGTTCTGAACATATTTATTTATTTGTTCAGATTATTTCAGCTATGTACATAGACACAAATAATTCTTGCTCTTGAGAAGGTTACGGTAAGTCTGAAGATCTGTACAAATGGAGGTAATAAGCTGATGAACAGGAACCTGATTTCTGCAAAAGGTCAGCCACAGGTAGTTCCCCACATGATATGTCAGCTGGGGCTACGATTGATTATTACAATAGGATTTAAAGATTATTGTGAGCCGTTGTTCTTCCTGTAGGCGTTCAGGAGGAAGGAAAAGGTACATAAGGGAAAAAGAACACAAAGATTAAAAATGGGAAAAATTTATGTATGATACATCACCTATAATTTTGACCTACTAATATGGTTCGTTCTTTTTAGGCTGAAACAAGCCAGGGTGCTTTAGGAACATTAGCAAATGTTGTAACATCTCTGGCTAATCTCAGTGAGTCACTAAATAATGGAGATACTTCTGAAGTTCAACAAGAAGAGCAATCTGCAAGTGAGATTACACGGTATGCATTTATATTTGCAACTTATTTAACAATTTGTATTCTGTATGGTATATACTTACACTCATTCACTCAAGTAATTTGACATTGTGACACCAAACACAGTAGAGAAACTACTTTGAAACATAAAAACAATTCTTTAGAAATCCAAGTTTGTGAAGAACTGTGTCCTGTGTTATAAATGTAGCATTCTGAAGCTAGACCAGATTTCATACTCAGAAAAATAATAAATGACTAGTTTGAGTCTCTCTCCTTGAGAGGCTCTGAGAATAGCAACACCTCAGTACTGTTTTATTGGATAGGCTTGTTGTATGGAAGCTTCTCCTGTGCAATATTCATGCCTTTAGCCCTGCTCTTTACGGGTCTATATTACTGCAGATTTCTGTGTGGCCATAACACCTGCTGGTAATGTACGGAAAATGTAGTTAAACTAAGATTAATAAGCTACTTTTTTTTTTTTTAATGTTTAGAAGGACTTCGAAGTCTTTCTTGTCTTTATTAATGAGAAAAATGGGAAAAAGGAACATAGAATTTGAAAATTTCCAGCAGAGCTTGGGATTTTTATGGTTGGGATTTTTGGTGGGATTTTTGTTTGGAGTTGGTTTTGGGGGGTGAGTGGGTTGAAGGACAACATATATTGGCAGTATAGTGAAATAAGGAAAATACTTGGCCTCAAAAGTGTCCATTGTTTCTTAAGTAGAAGATTTTTTAACAGGACCTTAACTTCAGGCTCTTAAGTCTTTTATTTAAACTCTTGAAGTGAGTGAACTGATATTTAAAAACACTTGAGACTGCAACTTCGACTTATGTCAACCTTGTACTCTTCCTTTAAAGCAGAAAAAAAAATCCAAGCACACACCTCCTGCCTCACATACCTTCTTGACAAAAATACTGGCAAAACAACAATATACCGTAATACTGTCCACTGGTATGAAATTGGAGTGCAAAATTCTTGTTTAAGTCTAAGCTCTGTTATCATAAGAAGAGAATTTACACCGCTTTATTTCGGCAATGGCCCAGCTACAATTTCAATATAAAGGAGTCCAGGGACTAGCCTCTCTTATGTTACTGTCATAAGGTTTCTAAGGCTCTGTCTATACTGTGAGATCCGGAGTGTCTGGCCATATCTCATCTTGAGGGAAAGGAAATTCAGGCATATTTTCTAGAAGAGAACCACATATTCTCTACTGTTCCAAGAAGTTGGACATCAAGGACAGGGACTGCAGGGTGTTCTCCAGAGTGCATCTGTAATCCTCACATAATCTATTAAACATTCCAAGGCGAGAAGGAGGGGATAATGAATGGTAAGTGCAAGAGATCTCTTTACTAATACAAATACTAGCATAAAACTGTTAGAGCAGGATTTACAGTAGTAAAAAGTTCCCCCCCTTACAAGGAAGATCTTTTACCAGCAATATATGGGCAGATCTATTCCTTTTATTAATGTCCAAACAGCACAGAGGTGCCAGGTTGTAATGAAAAGTCTGACCTTGTGTCTTAGCATAAACAGTTCCTGTATATGTTAGCTCTAAGTGGAAATGCTTTATAGCATTTAATTTGACCACTGCTCTGAATTTTTTTAAGATGTAAGGAAGCACTCTTTCATTGTTCATTACTTTTTTTCTCAGGGCGTTTGATACTTTGGCTAAAGCACTTAATACCACAGATGGTACAGCCACTCATAACTTGGCAGATGGGATGGATCCTGCAGGAGGAGGGAATATTCATGTAATCAGTAGAGATCAGTCAACACCTATTATCGAAGTGGAAGGACCCCTGCTTACAGATACACATGTGACATTTAAGGTATATGCTTCTCTAAATGTCTTACTAATACTTAAGACATAACCCAAAATTAGTTTACTATGTTTTCTTTATTCTTATATTTAATTTTGACAATATAACCTAGCATAACATCTGCTGTTACAAAGCTTCTAATACAATTTTCACTCTTGCATACTGTATCTAAAGGGTATAAGTGTTATTTAATAAGACCTTTTCACAGACAGAAGGATGCTTTAAAATTTATTTCACTTTCCAGTGCTGTTGACAATTTCTTTCCATATCATCCATAGAGTATGATGTCTTGTTTAATTAATTTATAATTCTAGATAGTGTAAAACTTTCATCTAAAAGGCTCCCTCATGTAAAGAGAGGTTACAGTGCCTTCTTAGATGCTTAAGGTTAGACCACTAAAAAAGGTCTTGCATTTTAGAGATGCTTCAGCTTCAGCTGTATACAAGTAAACACATGCTAATAAACAGTGTGCTAGAAACAATAAGGGTGTTCATCTTGCTGTAATCAAATTGCACTCTTTCAAGAAATACAAGGATCATTACTGAAATAAGTAATGCTTAATGTAGTCAAACTTTTATCATAACCTGCTTATGCCCATTAATGGTGTTTTGTGATTGTAGATTCCTATTACATGACGTATAGATTTTAGATTTTATTTTGCTTTTTTAAAAATTTTAAAAGATCATTTATAGTGCTGTGATGCTAGCCAACACTCCACAGAGCAATGAAATGTATAGATTTAATTATTATTAAATAAATATGAAAACATCTTAAAATGAAACATTTGAGCTCTCTCGCATAATTTCTTGTCTCCTATTCCCATTTTGTATTCCTTGCCAGTAGTAATCACAGAATCATTAAGGTTGGAAAAGACCTTAAAGGTAATCAAGTCCAACCATCAACCCAACACCACCATGCCCACTAAAACATGTCCCCAAGTGCCATATCTACACGTTTTTTGAACACTTCCAGGGATGGTGACTCTACCACATCCCTGGGCAGCCTGTTCCAATGCTTGTCCACGCTCTCTGTAAGGAAATTTTTCCTAATATCTAGTCTAAAAGTTACTGAGTTATTAAAAGCTATGAGTTATTTAGTACAATTTTCCTTTGACAGTTTCTGGTCATATAGTTGCTTATGACAGACTATGAGATCAGTTTGAATGTTTTTGCTAGTTGTTTCATCAATAATAAAAATTGGTTTATGTCTGAACTGTATATATCGTACTGTACTTCTGTTTTTTGCAGCTGACAATGCCCAGTCCAATGCCGGAGTACCTTAATGTACACTACATCTGTGAGTCAGCATCACGACTGCTTTTCTTGTCTATGCACTGGGCTAGGTCCATACCTGCATTTCAAGCTCTTGGGTAAATGGACATACTCTGTTGAACAGTTTGCTTTCTAATGAATTTAAGCACTGACCTGAACACTTTTCAGCTATTTTGAATTTTTAAATTATTATATTTTTTAAATTTTAATTAATTTTTAAAATATGTGAAGACTATACAATATTGTCCTTTTTGAAGAATAAGATAGAAGATGGCAGAGGAGGGGATAACTACAGTATCTGATGTTACTGTAGTTCCAGAAGCTAAAGCCAAATCAAAAGCAAGCATTTACAGAAATATATCTTGATAAAGAACTAGTGAGCACCATTCTACAGATAACTTGAAATGGTTTCCTGTAGTTGACCTATCACTTCTTTATGCTTTTTGAAATATTTGTAATATGCTAATATATGTCTTTTAGTAAAAGTGATTTGCAATACATCCTTATTATTAATTGTTATAATTAACATAATTACACATAGGATAACACCAACCCGATATGAAGACTATCTACAGTTGTTTGACTTTCTGTTGTTTATAGGCAGGACTGTAATACAAGCCTCGTGCGTGCCTGTTGGAATGAGCTGTTTACCTTAGGCCTGGCACAGTGTGCACAGGTGATGAGTCTGTCTACTATCCTAGCAGCTATTGTCAACCACCTCCAGAACAGCATACAGGAAGGTATGTTTTCAGTGTGTGAGTCTTATATGTGCTCGGTCCTATAAACACTACAGGGACATTTGTATAACATTGCTCATGAGGTGTTTCGTAATCAGTGGCAGAATTGTTCCCCAGGATCCAGGGGAAGGAGAAGCCTTTTCTTGCATAACTACCTTTCCTGTGGTGGTCTACAAGTTTTGTTGCACTGACTTCACAGAGATCTCTGATGTAATTTTTTTTTCTCTTGGGATAATGATGTCTTCTTCCAAACCACACCAGATTTTTTTCCTTCCAGAACTTTCCTTCTCTGCTTTGCAGTGTGAGTGCTATAGCATTTGCCAAGTATCACAACAAGAATATTCTTGAAAGTATAATAGTTTTGGATACTGCTATAATGCAGTAATGATTGATGTGAAGTACCCTCTGAAGCATTACACAACCTATTTTCTTGATACTCTTAAGATTTATGTAATTTTAATTTTTAATTCAGTGTTGGGCTGTTGATAATGATGACTATATCTAGAATGGATGATAATCTGTTATGGTTGCTTTTTTTCATTCTTTTCTTTGAGGATAATCCCATCAGTATGATTGATTAGTGTGAGAATAAAATTCCATTTTTAATAGGAAGAAAAAAACAATACTAGCAGCTTTAAACTCTGGAAACACAAAAAGCTATCTTAAAATGAAACCTATCTTAAATGTAAATGTGAGTTAAAAGTAGTTACAGAGTACTATTTGGTACCAATTTGTTTGACCATTTTTGTGGTGCCATTATTGTGCACACAGCAAAAATTGGAAAATAGGCTTTTACTGAGGAGAGTAAAACTTGATTGTAGAACTATAAAATGTACAAAAGTAGATAATCTGAAAAAAATGTTTAATATCCTTCAGTCCTAGTAAAGTACATTTGTTTTAATCTAATCTATTAGCTTTGTTATGATAAAGTAAATTAGACAGAAATTTGATTCTTAAATGGATAGTATACTCTCATAATTAAGGGGGGGAGGAGTGTTCTTGTCATTTAAGAGAGCCTGGACGGCCCTCAAAATACAACAAAGTGATGCTCCTTTCCTGCACAGAGAGAGAGGCAAGAGTTTGAAGGACCAATACGGAAACATGCACATTGTATGTTCTGTGCAGAGTTAGGCTTTTAATTGTACCTCTGTCAGAATAAAGAGATCTGTCTCTTCCACCTACACCCCAGGCAATGATTTTGTGGAGGAGTAAGTGGTGGGGCTATTACAGCCTTAAGCTGGCTCCACTTCTGTTCCCATGTCCCAAAAAAGAAAAAAATAAATTTGTTCTACAACCTGTACTTCCCATCATACTGTGTTACCTAAGACTGGCCAAGAAAAGAGGATTATTTGTTTTGTTATGATTTGTTGATTATTTATTTTATTTTTTCTGCAAAGTTATCATATTATATCGGGTATTATAAGTTTAAAATTCAAAACAAAGTGAAGAAATTTCACAACATTATCTAGGAAGCATATTAGTGATGAAGCTATTTGGAAATTCTAGAATTCAGGTTCACTTTTCCTGAGTATTTCTGCACCATCATTTCCCACTTAAAATAGAAATAAAAACATTGCATCATGTCTATCTTGATGCATCTTGAGTACCTAAAAACTCATATCATAATTCATGTATTTTAGAAATGTAGATTATGCTTTCATTCTTATTTCAAGACATTGTGCAAAAAATATTTCTTCTGTTCAATCTTTTTATTGCAGTTTCAGAAAATATGTAAAATAATCATAAGTTACATCAAAGATTCAGTTTAAGGCACAGTGGTCTAAGCAATCATATACACTATTAGCTGTACAGGTAAAGGTTATTTTAACTATTAAGTTATAATGATATGAAATATTAGCATTAGAGATCACGACTGGAATAAAATTATTCTAATATGTTCCTCAAGAAAAAGTTTTATCCCTTGTGAATTGACTTACCTCCGAAGTATTCAGAGATTTGTCTTAATGTAATCTCTAAGGTTTTCATTCTTTGACTAGCCTGCAGATATGCAGAGAGAAGGTATATTTACCAAAATAGAAATCTCTCCCTCCCTAGCTGAGCAGCTAATACCACTCAATTGTAACTTATCCACAAACAATACAAGATTTTTTTTTTTAAATCAACATTTTAAGAAAGACAATGAAGCCAACGTAAGGAACATGATGTTCCAAATGATGGAAGAATCTGTATGTGTTTGAGTGAATTTACCCAATCAGAAGGAAGGAAGACTATTTACCATAGTAAATGAAAAAGTCACTTCTAAAAGTAGAGGAAAAAGTATCACTGTCATTACTGCTTTTGCATTAATTTCTGGAAAAGCTAACTCAATACTGTTTGAATTTATAAATTAGGATTGCATAATAGCATTTGTTTTGTGCTTCTCTTCATTCCCATAATCACTCTAGTAATTTGAGAGTCTCTGCTCGGAACAGTACATCACTGGAATAAGATCGGTGTTGCAAATTATGCTGTATTGGCAAAATTATGTGAAAGAGTTAACATTCTGTTTGCTAGCCCTGTGTCTGACTCAGCCTTATGAATCTTCACTTCCATAATCACAAAATCACAGAATCATTAAGGTT